ATCTGTGGATTAAAACAAAAGTTTACAAGCCTGTAAGAAAAGCTGAGAATCATGTTTGTGAATGTGTCCCTAAGGCCCGACTGCATCTGGGCTCAGGTTCCACAGCACCTGTAATTACTGCTGCCCAAAGAAAGATCAACTTCAGAAGACCTGTTCATTTTCCAGCTTGCCCATAATTTCTGAGCACTGAGTGCCTAGCCTTCTTGGGATTAAGAGGCTTAAGTGTTACTGGTGTTGTATTTGCTGTTACCATTTATCAGAATAATCAGCTGTGCTTTGCTGGAAAAACTTCAACGGAATCTTTATGCAGTGAAAGGAAATGCAGATTGCTCCAGCTAGCTGGAGATCTTCTGTATTATTAAGAGTGTTTTCTGCTAATTAAATAGAAGAGAAAGGGAGGAGAACTGCAGCTTTGGAAGCAGCAGGGATGTGTCCATGCTAGTACCCTCCACTCAGACAGATGATGATGATCAGGAGAGTGGAGAACCTAGTATATTTAACAGGAGACAACGTGAGCTAGATATGGGGATTGTCTTTCTCAGAAAAGGATGGCTAACCAGCGTGGAGATATTGATGGTGACTCACAAACCTGTGTCAGCTGCATGCCTCCAGGAGCAGGCAGGACAGAAGCACAGGTAGGCAGGCTGTTGCTGTTAGATAGCACAGGGACATCGGCAGCAAGCTGGTCAGCATTACGAGTGGCAACATCACTGTCAAAGTATGCCTGTCACAAAACACACCACAGGAATTACAGCCTACGTGCAGAACGAAGGAAACACACATGGACACATCACCCTGCTACAGGCCTGTGAGAAACAGATGTGAACAAAGTCATGTAGAAACACATGGAAGTGAATCTATGTCCTCCCCAGAGCAAACGGCATCAACCCACAACCAAAAGTCATCCCAGCCCTCCGTCCTGCTAGATCCAGTCTGAAGAACTGCCCCATCACTTCTCTAATGAGGGCTGACAGTATCTCCCTACTCCAAGCTCACATGCTGGATTTCCTGCAAAGGATTTGTCAAAAAGTGAGCAGTGGGCAAAGCCAGATGGCAGCACTGCTGTGTACAGCACTGCCCTTCACGTGTCTCTGGGGAAAACACTGATCACTGGGTGCAGATTAAGGTGGGGGAGAACAGGCAAATGACTGCTTGACAACCAGGTTAGTCAAACTCAAACAGCAAGCTGTGAACCAGACGTTTAGAAACAGGACATTTGGGAACAGGCCAAAATGAGCCCGGCTGGGAACAGGTGCCCACAGCCCTCGTAAAGCAGGAATCCCACAGCTACAAGAATCCAAATAGAAAAGGGCCTAAAAACTATTCCTGGACAGTGATGAAGGCTCTCATCCAGCATTCGTGGGAGGATAAAAACAGCTGACAGCACCTCCACCGAGCCACAGCAAAATGGACAATTCCATCCATCCTGTCCAGCCACGCAGCCAGCCATAAAACCAGAGCAGCGTTGTGTTGGTTTATGGAAGTAGTTTTACTTCAGCTCTGATAAACCATCATTTAATGACACTGCAAACAATAGTCCTTCGGCAGCCAGCCCCACCAATGCACTGCAGTTCTCTGCAAACCCATCTGAAAGAGCTCCTTTTTATTTCAGTCGCTTCGTTCTTGGCAGTCTGCATGAAACAAGAACTCTGGGCATTCCCTATTTACCTGCTCAGCGCTTCATTCATGAATCAAGCAGCCACGGGGTTACAGCAGTAGTGAAGACAGATTTAATGAGAGTAATGAGCTGGAAAACTGCAGAGGGGAACAAATGGAACTGCCTGCGTCATTTTTCTGGAGGACAGACACGTGTGCTGTCAAGGAGCCACATGTTTTAGGTGTTTAAAGGAAAGCCAGGAATTCCCTTGCTAATTTCAGGTACAGGTTGCTTCACCTCTGTTTGTTCAGGCTGCCATAAACGTAGAACATCACGTGTTCTTCTGCCCAGAACTCTCAAAAACACGTCCTTAATTTGTTCTGTTTGGAACATTCTTTTCGCTTAACACTTCAAGATGCAGCAACACGACCAGAAGAATGCCTTCCTTCTGCCTCCACAATAAACAGTTTTAAAGTAAGTAAGTAATAAAATAAATGTGGTATGTAAATATAATAAATATACACACAAAAACAAGGAGCTCCCAGGAGGTCCTCCTGTCACTTCAGCTCTGCGATGGCACACAGCCTACAGGATCCAGTTACACCTGCACACATTCCATTGCTCAGTGGACTTCTTCCTGCCCTTCCTTCTCCAGGAGTGAGGGAAGACACTCAAGCCAGTAAATGCTGTACTCGAAATACTTGACTTCCTGCCTAGACATATTTAAAACTGTGGTACCTGCCAGACTGTACATCGCCTGTGCAAGTTTCATCACCTGTCATAAATGGGTGGCTGGAATAACTACACCGTTTGCTCAGGGCTCAGGCACTTCAAGCAGAAACTTGCCCTTCAGAAGCACAGCACTGAAGTAAATAAAACAACAACACAGACCAGGAGAAATACAAATGAATAAGGCACTACTCCTCCCTAGCACAGCATCTCTCAGCAGTTAACTTGGTTTGCTGCTTCACCCCAAACTCTGTTCTGTTTTTCCTTCCAGCTCAGCTGTCTGAAGGATGTGCACTGGACACGGTTAACTTTTTGCATTTTTAGACAGAAAACAGGAGGAAACAAGCACTTACAAGTGATGGAAACGCATGTTAACAAACAGCCCCGTGTTAATAAAAACAGCCACAAAACACAGCAGGCATGCCAGAACAAGGCTCCATCCGAAATCAAGGTCAGTGTAAACAGAAGCTGAGCATGCAGAGGGGACAGCGAGTCACTGGGAGGGACACGGAGCACTGCCTCACCTTCCTTTTGTCCAATGAGGGTATGGCTACCCCATTGGAGCGGTTAAGGTCTGACACCAGCACCTTCAGAATGTTCTGAATCTAAAGGAGGTGAAAGAGAAGTGGAAAAGAGAAACGGCTCAGAAAAGGACAGAGAGAAAAACGTCCATCAAAGGCAGCCAAAGAAACCGGCATCGTGCTGCTCCCGAGGAGCTCCCATCTCTGAACGGCAGCTCTGGGTGCATCCAGGGTTGCCTTACAGCTCTGAACGCTCCAGCGCTGCTCCAGCACACACCCTGACTCACAAACTGCTAACAAAGGCAACTCAGCCGCTCACGTTACACTGCATAACTTTTCCAGTCCCAGTTGTGCTGTTTGGAAACCAAAGCACGAGGCAGAGGGAGAAAGAGGGGGACGCTCACGTTCTCTGGAGACTGTCGGTCATCGTTTGTGGGAGTCTCAGGTCTACTTCCTTCTTTAGTTTTTCGTTTTTTCTTGGCTCCCGCAGTCGCTCCAGGGCTGTTCTTCTGCTGATATTCCTTCAGCTGTGGGGGAAAGAAAAAGAATAACCTGAAGTCCAAACAGAATATTCTGTGAATATAACATCAACAACAAAATGACAGCAGAACACTGGGTAAGAAGTCAGCTGAGCTGTAAGGACAAGAGAAACTGTCCTTAAAGAGCTCCTTCTCTAGGAAAAGAAAATGTATATGTATCAAAAATAGTTCAGGGGCTCTGAAAGTGAGAATGGGAGTGCTGGGTCTGCGACAAGAGGCAGGGCTGCCAGTGTCCAACTTCAGCATCCAACTGAGGAAGTGCCCTGGAAACAACACCATACTGCAAGAAGAAATACTTGTAAGTGTGTAACTAACAGCAATAAGGAATAAAGGATAATAACACGCAATGCAAACTGGTAAAGCCGCATCTGGTAATAAGGCGTAACAAGAACATTGAAAGGACTGAAGAAGGAGAACAACCTTCCAGATAACGCACTGAGACCGGCGCTGCCACCACTGCGGGCCGCGGGGAGCAGCAATCTGCGACGGATGCCGATTTAAAGGCAGTTTTGGCCAGGCTCTGAGCAGCCCGGGGTTCCGATGCTCCGGAGGTTCCTGCGGCCCCGAGGGCGGCCATGGAGGCAGGGCTGCGCTTCCACGTCAAGGTGAAAAGCACCGGAACGAAAAGGATCCTCGGGAGGATTTCAAAATGGAAGCCCGAGCTGCTCCAGGGCACTTTCCCATTCGTTTGACTTTGACACAGGAGGGCATCGCGCCGGGACGGAGCGGGCCGAGCTGCCCCGCGAGAAGGAAAAAAGGGAACAGAAAGGGGAAAAAGAAATGAGAAGAAAAAAGAAGGGAAAACAGAGATATGGAAAAGAAACCCAAAAGGGAAAGGGAGCGGCAGACACGGAACGCAGGAGGCGCAGCAGCGCAGGCCCGGCCCCCACGGGCCGCCCCCACCGCCGGGCGCCGCGGAGCGCTGCGGGACCGGGCCGGGCCGGGCCGGGCTGAGCCGAGCCCCTCCGCACCGCTCCGGGCCTCCAGCGCCGCTCCCGCACGGCCCTCCACCCTCACCTTCTTCTTAGCCGCCGCCAGCTTGCTCTGCCTGCTGCCGTCCGCCATGTCCGCCCCGCGCCCGGGCCACGTCAGCCGCCGATCGGCGCGGTGCGCTGGGCAGCCAGGCTCCGCCCCGAGCGCCCGCCCCACCTCGGGGCCCGGGGGAGGCCGCGTTCCTCCGCCCCGCCCCGCTCCGCTCTCCGCCCGGCCCGCCTCCCCCGCTGCGGGGCGCGAATGGCGGCCGGATCCGCCCCGCTTCCCGGCTCGGGGCCCGCCCACGGCGGACGGCTACGTGGTTGCGGGCCCGCGGACGCGGCGCCGGGTCGCTCCGCCCCCGAGCGCGCGGCTCGCGCTGCCCCACTCCGCCCCGCGCTCCCGGCGCAGCATGGCCCCGCCCGGGCGCCGGAGGCAGCGCTCGGCCCGGCTCGGCCCGCCGCCACACGCGCCGCGCCGCTCCCCACCTCGGCGCGCCCCCGGCACGGCAATGCGTTCCCCGGCGCCGAGAGGGCACGGCAGGGCCCGGGACTACAACTCCCAGCGTGCCCCGCGGTGCCGACATCCGGTTCCCGGCGTGCCCCGCGCCGTGCAGGCGGTGCGTGCGGGACGCGGCGGTCCTGGCGGAGCGGCGCCGTTCCCCCTCGGGGCGCGTGGCGCCGCCGGCGCAGCGGAGGTAGGAGAGGTTCCGTTCGGTTCGGTTCGCGCCGTCCCGCAGCGCCCCGCTGACGCCGTCTTGCGCTGCCGCGGGGCTCCCCGCGCTCTTTCAGGTCTCTCGGCGGCTCCCGGCGGAGCGGCGGTGCTGGTTTCAGACCTCCGGTAAGCCGCTCTCCCTCCCCGTTCACCCGGCGGCTCGTGGTGCCGTTAGCGGCCGCCGGACGCGTTTTGTTCCCGCAGCTCCCGGCCGCACCGCCGCAAAGAGCGGACGGAGAAGCGCCGTGCGATGACATCGAAGCTCTGAAGGAAAAGGACCGCGCTCTGGACCGGGAGATCGCGCAGCTGCTGTCCGAGTACGGCCCGCGGGGCTCCGTTACGGCCCGGCTGGCTGCGCCGTACTGCGGCCGTGCTTTGGGTTACGGGGCCCGTGAGCTGCAGCACGGAGCTCCTTCCCGGTTGTTTTTCCTAGGGCTTGGTTGGGAAGGCTCTGACCTCACGTGCTGCGGTAACGATGTGTAAATTGGGAATGAATGGGGGTATTTTTTAGCTGATGTCAGCACACGTTGTGCCAGCGGAGCTGCTGATACAGGTGGGATCTCAGGCCGTGGATTGCACCGCTGCCCAGCCCGGGCCTGGATGAGCGTTTCCCCTGCTCTGTGTGGGGCAATGCGCACTTGATTTGAATGCAGAGGGGCGTTAATCCTAGGGACGTGAAGGCTGGAAAAAAAGCTCTTCCATCCCGACCCCGCTGTGCCACTGACATCCCTGCGTGCCACGGCCCCAGAACATCTGCACTGATAGGGGCTCCAGCACTCCCTGGGCTGTGCAATGCCTCAGGGCTCTGAGAAGGCATTTTTCCTAATATCCAACCTAAAAATCGTTGTTCTAAACAGAGGGGTTTTACCAGGCGGGGTCTGCATACCTCAGCTATCCTTTGTTTGGCAGTGGTTTTGTTTTGTGGCTTTGTTACAGAGGGTACAGCGTGGAGGAACTGGAGAAGCACATCTCCCTGCTCCATGAGTATAATGAAATTAAAGATGCTGGACAGATGCTGCTAGGCAAACTGGGTAAGGAGTGGAAGGCTATTGAAGATCTTGGTGAAGTAAATCTTGGTATATAAAGAGACACTGATGTCACGAAGGCAGAGCTTGTTTCAGTATTAGGCTTCCTTAACAAAACAAAGTGGTGGGGAAGGGGGCACAGCTGGAAATTCTTGGTTCCTTAGCTGTGGGTGCTTCTGTGGGATACTTAGAGTTTACTAGGAGGAAAACACAAATCTTTTCTGACTTATTTGCTGTCTTCTTAATGAAAGCAATGGAATTTCTTTCTTTTCCAGCTGTTATCCGAGGAGTTACTACGAAGCAGCTGTACCCTGAGTATGACCTGGAGCTTAGTGACTAGCATGGGACCCGCAGGCTGCTGTGACCTGCAGACGTGACTGTTGCAGGGCCGTTGTGTTTTGGTGTTGTACCCATGTAGAGCCAAAAGAAGCAGCACATATGCTGAATTTCAAGAGATTTTGTTAGCAGCCACATTTCTCAGCAGCTTTGGAATGTGCAAGTTAAGGATGATACCAACTCATTCCTGTTTGTGGGAAAGGGATGTTGGGATACTTTCAGTTTACTCTGCTACCTGAGAAACACTATTTCTAATGGTTATTTTTTAATAGGAATGGTTGTAATCCAAGGTTGATGCTGAAGTTCTTCCCAATGAGCCTTTGCTTCTCTGCAGCATCCAGGCTCGATCTGGGTATGTTAACCTGCAGGTGGAGCAGCCTCTGGATGGATGGAGGAAGTGTGGGAGCAGCATGTGTGAAGTGACAGCTGCTGTGTCAGGAAGACCGTGGGGAGAAAAGAGGACCAAAGGCTGAAGTTGTGATGGTGGTTTGGTTTTGTTATGATTGGATCTGGAGGAGTTTGAGTGTTCAGCAATTTTGTACTCAACTGCTGTAATATCCAGAGGTTTTGTTTCATTTCTGTAGTAAACAGAACATTGTGTTGAACTGTCTGACCTGAATTAAAGCAGCTATTGCATCCCTCAGTAATTCACTTTGAGAGCGTGTGACTCATGAAATGAACTTGGGAACAAATTCTTCAACTATACTCTATTCTGAGACAACATTAAGATGTGCTGTTCAGTGTTTTCTGAGGAGTTACTGGGGACAGTGTGGCAGCACTGCTGCTGGGAATGAGAGCTGCAGAATTACGTTTACTCAATTGTAAATGCAGAGTCACTGCAGTGAAAGTGAGCAGTGTCCTAAGCACAGGGTTGTGTTGAGAGCAGGAGTGTTTCAGCGTCAGCTCTTAGGACTGAGGGTCACTGCACAACCCAAGTTTGGTTTGCTTTGTGCCAACTGATGAAGTGCTCTGACCACAAATGTTGTTCCTGCTTCACTCAAGCTCAATGTCCTGTGCATTTCTACTTCCCAGACCTTCCTGCCAAGCAATTTTCCCCCCTTGCTTTCAGTCAGGCCTATATTTGCAGTCTGTTCTTCGTATTTCTAAATTTGAAAGAAATTAATCTTCACAGTGCCTGGATATCAGACAAGTGGTCAGAAAAGCTGCTGCTGAGAGCACAGCAAAAAGGCGTTGGGAAATGTTTTTTTCATTGGGAAGTGCACACATCAATGCCAGCACTTTGTGCGAGGTGTTGTAACTCCCAAGTTATGGAAGGTCATTGAAGGACTGAGAGGTCTGTGTTTCCTTCCCCCCATCCCCTCCTTGTAGAAGCACTGGGATCAACGCAGTCACACTGACACTGTTTAACCAGTGCTGGGTTTTGCTTCAGTTAGCACAAGGGAGCTGTTGGGGATGATGTCCTCATCTCAGACTGCTGTCCACAAAGGATGGATGCACACAAACCAGCCAGCCAACAGCCAACTGCCCCTGGTGAGGCTCTGCAGTGGGCACAGAGCAGTGCTGCGTGCTGCTGTCTGCACAGCAGGGAGACCCAGGACAAAATGGAAGGTTTCCAGGCTCTGCGTTAAAAACTTCAGGGACTGAGCTCTGCTACTGAGGTACTTCATCCCTGCTCCTCCCAGAGTTGCTCCTTGTACTTTAAGGGCAATCTGGAAGATAAACTATGCTTGTCTTTGCCCAAATCCAGAAGAATAGAACCAATAATTTCTGTTGCTTTTCTAGAGTACATAAATATCTAGAAGTAAGCAAGTCTCTGGCTGGGCAGATAGCAGGAAAACATTGCATGTTGTAACAGCACCATTCTTAATTTAAATTTAGAAAGCTTATTTCTGTTACGTCTAATCCACATATAATGATATCACAGGTAACAAGTGGAATTACAGAACTGAAACCCCCACGGAGAGGCAGTACCTCTGCCTGCAGGCAGCTGCCAAAGCGCAGGACACCACAGCCCCTGAGCACCCCTGGTTCATCAGCAAAAGCAAACAAAGCCTTTTCTTTCTTAATTAAAGGGTCACTGTGCTTGTCTGTAGTGCTGAACTCAAAAACAGCCTCTTTCCCTTCGTGTCAATTTCAGTTTTATTCCTTATATTGTTAGCATCTTTGTGTCAGTCCCTCTTTCTGCACTGCACACACTCTGACAGCCATTTCCCTGCTGGACTTTAGGTAAGCTGCCTTTCCTCCCTTGCAGCTCTCTTTTAGTCTCATTTCTGGCTCTGAAAGTGGGGCTAAAGCAAAGGCACTACTTTTGCTAGGGGAACGTGGGGAAAATAAAAACCTGTGCAGCAGTGGAGTTGTGCTACTGGTTGCAAGGAGCAAGCAGATCATGCAATCAAGAGAACACAGCTCTGTAAGAAGGTGCCTGTGTTTCCTGCTGCTGAACAATTTGGGAAGAGGTTTCTGTATCCCATAGCAACCTAATGATCCCAAAGCCAACAGGGATTTTGGCACAGCTAACTCCTGTTAATGAACTGTTTACAATGCTTTAAAATTATACAGCCTGTCAACGGAAAAATGCCTCTCTGATGAAAGTCATCTCGAAGAAATGGTGGAAGTGAACTGCAATTAACCTCTTTCCTTCTGCTGTCCATCATCCTGTCAGCACGTAGCTCTGTTGCTGTGCTGCAGAGGGGATGTGGATGTTCCCTCTGGAGCACGTACTCAGCTGTCAGCGGCGTGGGCAGCCTCAGCATCCATCTCCTGAAGAACACTTCCATCCCAATGGCTCATTGTTTTCTCTAACTCGGTTTTCACTCTAAGCTGGCAGTTCAGAATTGCATTCTGTATGCTCTGCAGGTTCCACTGCGTTCTCAGGAGGGCATCATCCAGTGTGAAGACACCGTCCCGCGTTCTTCGCACTTGTGTGCACACAGCAGATGATTTCAGCTCCAGCCCGATCTCATGGACTACTTTGCGGAGGTATTGCTGGGTCTCGTGCAAGCAGTGAATTTCTGGAAGGTCAGAGAGATTCCTTCAGAACGGGCAAAGCAATGGGACAAATTCACACCTTGTCTGTAGTGCAGACATCCATCACGCTTACGCTGAAGGAAACAGTTCAGCAGAATAGATTGCTATGATAAAACACAGGTGGATTGTGCATTTCTGGAATACTGCAGGCTGTCCTGGCCCCCCCAGAAACTAAAGCTTTAGAGAACAAATCTGTATATGCAGCAGAATGACAGAGAGATTTAGATATTTTAAAGTGGATAAGATTTACCTTACCACCTTTGTGATGAATTATTTGTGAGCAATAGAAGACAGACTGCAGAAAAGCAAACCATGTTTAAACACGCTCCCATGCCCCCTGAGCTGCACTGCATTTAAATATCACACAAGGAAGAATTTTGCCCCATAGGCATTCACATTACAAAGTTTTTTGCCTCAGTCTAAGATCTGCAAGTAGCAGGGAAAGCAAAATGAGGGAGGTGTGCAGCTGGTTTGATTTGCTGCAGCATCTTCAGTTCTGTAAAGGTTTCAGACAATTGCTCTCAGAAAAAGGGGAAAAAAAAAGGCTTTGCACTACAGAGATCATCCTGCAAAGGGATGCTGTGCTGAGCTTGGAAGCTACAGCTCATGACACTGCAGGGATTACTGGTTGGTACCACGCTCCCGCCAATTCATGGTGCATGAGGTCACTAACAGGAAAGTGAATTTCACCAACTTATTTACACATTCACACCAGACCTTCCCCAGTCCATTCTGCACCAGTCCTACCTAGCTGGAATTCAGGGAGTGCAAACTGGAGACACCGGATTGCAGTGATTATTGGGGGGCTTTTTCCCATGGGGCGAATCAGCCCCTTCACAGCCAGCTCATAGGCCTCCTGTGTTTTCATATCGATGTTAGAATGCCTGGAAAAGGAGAAAAGGAGCAGAGCAGACACTGAGTGCTTCTCTTCAATGCCATTCAAAATAGGTGCAGTCCCAACTAAAGCAGAGCTGCACTTGTTATTCTCAGAACTGCCCGTGCATGAAGTTCCTGCACACATCTTAATGCTGCGCTGTTTGTAGAGGTTTGGGAGGGAGGTGCCTGGCCACGTCTGTAAGACATCAGTGCAGGTCTTACTGCAGCCAGCAGTTCCTATGGAGCTGGAGATGTCAGAGTACAAAAAAGGACACTTAACAGTGGTCCCTCACCAGCACGCAGAGCACTCTGTGACTTCTGTCTGCTCTGATCTAGTGCTCAAACCTTTACAAGCTGTCACGGCAAACACAGCCATGCTTTTTACATACGTACATCAGCAAGGCCTTGTGATTTGTTCCTTGGATGACGGCGAGAATCCGTTCCAGCTTCTCCCTCGTGATATGATCTGCAAATATCAAGGTAGAAACAAAGTCTCAATTATCCATCTGGAAGCTGGAAGGAAAGCAGCCTGAGTGGTGCCATTGGTGTTAGCAGGTCGCATCCAAATGGTTCACAGGAGCCTCAGTGTGGAGTAAGCTCTGCTCATCGTGCCATGTAAATGAGCAGCACTGTGCTGCACTACAAAGAAAGGGTCATTTTGTCTTAATTGATTTCAAGATGTTGGCTCCAGTTTCTCCTACAAGTGGCTGAAGGATTTAATTCCACAAAGGCTTCTCACCGCTACCTCTAGATGTGATACAAGCACACCTGGCTCCCACCCATGCCAGCAGCAGCTGCTGGGATGAAGGCTCAGCCTGGTTTGTGTGTGCTGCACTCAGCACAGGTGGACAAAAGCACCTTGACTGCATGTGGGCTACGTGCACAAAGAGCAGCCAAGGAAGCGTTTGGAGCATTACCTTCTAATGCTGTGCATTCTACCTGGCCAAGTGCCTTGCTATTCAGCAGGAGTGCTCTTTGTTTTGTGTTCTGTTCAGGTGCTTTTTTTTCCTTAAACACATCGACTCAGTTTCTTACCGAACGTTGTCTTCTCTATCAGCTTCCCAGTGTCTGAGAAGTCCACGGTAGCTTTACCAAACTGCCCCCTGACTGTGTAAACCTCCAAGAAAAGCAGAGAGTGTCATCCATCAAAGCTTCAGAGCCACTGAGCAGCATCACATCCAGCCATCAGCCCATCCCACCAACACCTCCCTCAGTGCCGCGTCCCACGGGTCTGGAACACCTCCGGGGCAGCACTGAGACTCAGAGCCCATCCCTGGGTGCCCGTGGCACTGCGCAGCGCCTACCTTGCTCAGGTGGCAGTCGTACAGGTGGCCGAGGAGCTTGTTCCCGTGCCCAACACCGAGCACTGCAACACAGGAGGCAAACGCTTAGAGCCGGGCCGCCCGTTCCACGCGTGCCGCTCCCCAGCCGGAGCCGCCGGCCCCGCCGCCCATCCCGCAGCACCGCGGCGGTGGGAGCAGCGTGCGGACGGCACGGCAGAGCCGCCTTGATGTCCCCCAACACCCGACCGCGCCGCGCCCCGCTCGCACCGAACACCCCCGACGCCTTCACGTCCAACCGGTGCCCGGCGCCGATCTTCAGCTGCGTGAAGCGGGGCCCTCGAACTGCGGAAAGAGACGGCGGTCAGCGCGGCACCCTGCCGGCCCTCCCCATACCGACCCTTCCCCTCCCCCCCGCCGCTCCCGGCGCTCACCCAGGCGGTGCTCGGCCAACACCGGCACCCGCACGGCCTCCAACGCCGGAGGCCCCGAGCTCGCAGCGGGCAG